ATAGTGGGGGAGGCAGAGGAATGGTAAGGTAGATTCCTTCCCTACTCTCTCATCTCTTCTCAGTTGTAGTAACTAGAAAAGTGAGACGCTGTTGCTGGAATATACTAAGTAAATCAAGAAAGAAAAATAGAATCACCGAGCTAGAACATCTTTGCAACTCTGCACTTGTCATTTCACAGAATCAGAATCAGGGTCTTGAAAGCAGCTGCAAGAAAATGGAGGTTACTACACTTATTGCTTCCACCAAATCAACCCAATGAAGTCCCACATTAAACCCCAAATCCAACAAATCAAGTCAATGAATTACCAAATTCCACCCTGCCAGCTCTCCTCCAGACCTAGTTCATTATATTAAATAGTCTTATAAGTGGAACCCCTTATGTAGGGTCAGACTTCCTACATAAGTCTCACTGTTAACACTGATAATTTGTGTTACCAAAGTAACACCAGGTCACATTCAAAACCACTCTTAAACTTGCCTTTTGAGGAATTCACTGCTACATTAAATTCTCTTCTGGACCATCAATCACCCTCTCCTTCACCACTGCATCCTTTACTGATGGAAAAAAAAATACTCTAGAATCTCCCATCTTAAAACACACACATACATATTCACATATTCCTTGTCTCCCTTCAGAGACTTCCCCTTTTTCTGTTTTCCTTCCTATCCAAACTTCCCCAAAGAGTTGTCTGCACCAGGGCTTGGCAAAGTACAGTTAGTGGGCCAAATCCAGTTAACCATCTGTTTTTGTAAATAAAATATCAATGGAAGCAGCTACATTTATTTGTTTAAGTTATTACCTATGGCTGCTTTCATATTACAAAGCAGAGGTTGTGACAGAGATTAAATGGCTCCACCAAGTTCCAAATTTTTACGATCTGACCCTTTAAAAAAATATTTTTAGTTATAGACGTGGACACAATACCTTTATTTTATTTCTTTATCTTTATGTGGCACTGAGGATTGAACTCAGTTCCTCAGACGTGCAAGGAAAGTGCTCTACTAACTGAGCTACAACCCCAGCCCTACTATCTGACCCTTTTAAGAAAAAGTTTGCTAACTTCTAGTGTATACTCACTACCTCCACTTTCTTATCCTCCATTCACCTTTCCCCTCACTCTACTCTAGTGTCTCCTTAATCCTGTTACCAGAAAGGCCATACTTCTGTAGTCATTCACCTAATATTCTCCTTCAAATAATGAACTCTTTAGGATCCCATGATAGGATCCCACTCCTTCCTGGATTTCTTTCTGCCTCTCAAACTTTTCTTCAAAATCTCCTCTGTTGGCTCTCCCACCAACAACCAACCTCATGCTTCTGTCCTAGGATCCTTCTCTTCTTATCAAGAATTTTTGATCCTTCTATGTGTCATGGATCCTTCTGGCATCTAATAAAACCTATGGACCCCTTCACAGAATGATACTTGTAAGGTATAAAGTGCAAAAAAGTACAAAAGAATACAATTGTCAAAACACAAAAGAAAAGTGATATGTGCTGCTTTATTAATGTAGTTATTATATTACATAACAGGATCAAGTCATGGGTTTAATAATTCTGTACCATGATTCTGAAATTGAGGTAAATTTAGATGCTATTCTATATCAGAATAACTGTAAAGTGACATGAAAATATCTTGATTTCTATTGGTGACAAGGTTATAAATATTTTCAATATGACTACATTCAAAATGGAAAGAAATGCTCAATTTCAGTCAATGGCTGAAAAATCAAGAACCATTTTCCTCATCCAACTTCATGAATCCCCTGAATTCTATCCATGAATCCCTGAGAGGTTCCTGGACCCTGGGTTAAGAACCTCTACACTAGAAGGTCTCACCCATTCTAATGGCTTCAGAAGCATCTGCATGTTGAGGTCACCCTTATTTATATTTCCAGCCCAGATCTCTCAGACTGTACATTCAACCTCCTACTGACATTTCTACATGAACATCTCATAGGCATCCCAAATTTAACATGTCAAAAAAACCCATACCTGAACTCTTAGATCTCATCCCAACCTAATCCCTTCCCCTGCCTTTTCTTTTCTTTTCTTCTTGGTACAGAGAGATTGATCCAAGGGTACTACCCCTGAACTACATCTCCATTTTATTTATAAATACTATTTATTTATATATTTTGAAGACAGGGTCTCAGTAAATTGTTAAGGCTGGCCTCAAACTTAGAGTCCTCCTGTTTCAGCCTCCTGAGTAGCTAGTTTTACAAGTGACACAGCACCTCAACTCTTTTTGATACACTCAGGAAACAGACTACCAAGCTGCTCAAGGCATAAACCTAAGGTCAACCTTGTAATCATCTTTTTTTGTTTTTTTGAGTATAAGTAAATCCCCTGGAATCTACCTCCGTTTACCAAATCCATCTGCCTCTTCCCATGCTGCCACGCCACAATACTCCAAACCACTAGCTTTTTCCTCAATTGCTGAAAGAGTATCCTAGCTGGTTTTCCTGCCTTCTCTGAGTACCCCTCCACCATTTACCACACAATAGCTAAAACTCATATTTTAAAAATACAAGTTTAGGACACAATCTCACTTAAATTTTCAATGGCTTTCTGTTGTTCTCAGGATAAAAAGCAAACTCCTTACTATGGCCTATAAAGTCCTGCAGGATACAGCCCTGCTTGTCTCTCCAACTCACCTGCAATCTTTCTCCCTCTTCACTTGCCATACTCCAAATACAATGATCATTCAGTCCTCAGAACACACAAAGGTCTTTCCTACCAAGACTTTCTGAACACAATTACCTCTGTTTTAAATGCTCTGGAATCCTATGCTCCTGGAATGACTAACTTGATTGCATCCTTCAAGTCTCAGTTTAAAGCTCACCTTGTCAGAGAGACCTTACCCTGAACATATTTAATTAGATACCGTGGTTATTCTGTCACAGCACTCTGTTTCCTTCACAGGATCTTATTTTGTAACTATATATATATGTGCTTATCTATTTGCTGTCTTCTCCCATAACTATAAAAGAATATCAATAAAGCCATTTTACTCCTTATGGTGTCCAAGATATGGTGCAGTACCAAGTAGACTATAGGCATACTCTATATATTTGCAGAATAAGTAAGGTCCTTGCTCTGAAAGCACTCTCTATATAGGGCAGTAGGACCCAGAAGACCTTTCAGAGCATATATGGTAGAGTAATTCTGTGATTCTACTGAACTTTTTCAATTAGTGATTCTCTAAAGAAATTGTGCCCCTGGGTTTCATTTTGAGAAAACAATCTACAAGATAACTGGAAATAGACAAGAATAGTATTTCTTCCAGCAGTCAAGTATGAAAAGAGGAGAGTCACCACCAAAACTTCTCAGGAAAATAAGTACTGTGTCTAGGAATGAAGAATTCCTACTAGCAAAGGGAAGCAGAGTGTAATGATAACTTTATGAAACTTTATTAACACTAAGACCACATGAGAGGGTATGATAGCATTACTCTGAGGAAATGGGCAATACTTCTGTCTTAGACAACAGCAATCCCTTTTCTCCACTCTAAAATTATGAGTCCTAGGCAGTCCCCTGGCCACATACTTTTCTTCAGAGCATTTGTTCTCAACCAGGATAATTTTGTATTATGTAATGTCTAGAAGACTTTTTTGGCTATCACAGCTTGGAGGCAGGTGTTGCTACTGGCACCTAAAGGGTAGAGAACAGGGATGCTGCTACAGAGCAGCACAGGACAGCCCATAACAAAGAATTATTCACTTCCAAGGTCAGAAATCTTGCTTAAGATGAGTATGTAATCAAAAAATTAATGTGACATAATTGATACACATAGATCTCTTTGGGAGGACATATAAGGAACTAATGAGAGCGACTTTCTCTGGGGAGAGGAACTGAAGATTGGAAGGAAAAACGAAATGGTTAAGGAGATTTACTTTTTAAATAAATATATATACATACATATATTCTTTTTGACATCTGAGTTCTATATCATAGGTATATGTTATCTTTTCAAAAAACAATAACCAAAAAATATAGTGGCTCATGACAATGATCTCAAAAGAGTAGCTTCAACTGACAAAATATTACTATATGGAAAACAAAAAACTTATGTTATAGAGTGAATCCTAAATTGGGAATTACAAAACATAGGTTTTGTCACTCTAACCTGGGGAACACAGATATATCACTAAACTCTGATTACCTCCTATGTAGAATGGGAGGATGATGTCCTCTACTCAGTGCTCACTGAACTATGAAGACCAAAGTGAAATTATGTAGGTGAAATGACCTATGAAGTACAGAGAGATGTACAGATTCATGTAGTTATTTTTAAAGGTCCTGTTATTATGAAAGAACAAGACTCGAAATGATCAATAAGACCTTCAATAACATTATCCCCTTTATAAATTACATGTCACTTCTTTGTCACTGGGGCTTTAGAAGTTGTTCCCTGTCAGTAGTACTGAAATCTTCTATCCATACTGCCTACCCAAAGATGATAAACAACTCAAGGGAAAGGTCTTATTATGATGAGCCATGCAAATTGTAGGTGGTTGATAATTATTTGAAGATTTTCAGGATTGTGATCAGGTTAAGAAGAACAACTTCTTCCTATATTACTCAATTTGCTACAAAATAAGTAGAGGCAAAGAATTTTGGGTCTGCTAGACCCTAACAATAATCCCATTATCAGCTGCTTTAAGAGAAAAAGAACAGTAAAAACATTCATCAACACATAACACATCTAGTTTAACTACCAAATCTTTTGTCTAACAGCTGGGCCATGTAGGCATAGCCTGAAGGACTAAGTTTCTTACTCATGAAATCACTGAGTCATGAAAACAACACCTTCAATACTCATGTCTTTGAATGGCAAAGACAAGCAATATGTAGGAGCTGCTAGCAAAAAATGATTAATACTGATGATGCTATAAAGTTCTCTCATTTTAGCAATTGTGAACAGAAAAAGTGAGTACAAGGGCAGGATAAGTGAGGCATCAGTCACCAGAAAAGAAAAAGGAAACTGTAGGTGTCTTACGTGATGTACTTGTTATAGAGGATGAAGGCATGTTCGATGTTGCCTTCCTCACAGTAAATGGATGCCATTCGGATCATCTCAACTCCAGAGCGGAAGTATCGACGAGGTGGAATGTCTTCATTCACCTCCACAGTACTTCCCAACTGGGACAGAGCCCTCACCCGGTCTTCGGGTGGGAGGCTCACATCTCCATGGTCAGACATCAGGACCAAGATGTTCTGAAACAGAAAAGTGAAAACAGATGGCATCAAAAACAAGGGCCCCATCATGCCAGCACAGTCCACAAAGTGTGTTTACCTCACAAACCTCTACTTTAAGAAAACATATAAAGAAAAAAATATACTGTGGTTTTGATCAAATAAAGTCTCTCTCCTACGAGAAGGCCGAAACCCTCCAGGAAGCTCAAATCATGATGAGAAGATTGGCAGATTCAAAAATCCTTGTGCCACAACTAGGCATTATGATGAATATAACAAGAACAGGCCAAGGGGGTTCAGTTCTACCTTTCACGTCAGTCATTCCCTGTTATTAGGTAGTCCTGCCTAGAGCATCATAAAAGTAGGTACAGTACCTTGTATTTCTTCCATCATTTCTCCTTCCAGCTACCTACTTGCATTTACCCCAGTACCTGAAAGAGCACATTCAGTGAACTTTCAGGAGGATTGTTAAGTGACTTCATGTATGGTCATTTTAATTTACGGAGTATCTGACATTTTCTCTGCTATACTTTTTCATATTTGTGTACAAACTTAGGGAAACTTGTTTGAGGATGAATGTTCATAATTATAATTCTGCTCACTAAACCACTATTCCTTTCAGTATAAAACATTGTGCCTCATTTTCATGGCAAGGTATTTACTTTTTTTTTTTTTTTTTTGCACTGGGGATTGAACCCAGGGGTGCTTTACCACTGAGCAACGTCCCCAGTCTTTTTAGTTTTTGTTTTGAGACAGGGTCTCACTAAGATGCTTTGGACCTTGCTAAATTGTTGAGGCTGGCCTTAAACTTGTGATCCTCCTGTCTGAGCCTCCTGAGTCCTTGGGATTACAAGCAACATGCCCACCTGAATTTTACTTTTTTTTCCCCCCCAACTAGAGAAATATCACCCTTAGTTCTAATTATAAGTGGAACCCATTCTTATTTATTCTGCTATTGATTGTTATGACCACATATCCCAGTCATCAAATGCTATTTTTTCAAGGTGGGGGGAGACTGGGATTATAGGCATGTGCCATCATGTCAGCTTGATATTTGGATCTTAAGACAACAATTTATTCATCTTCAAAAACTAAGCATTCTTTTAATAACAAAAGGGCACAAAGGTATTTTAGTAATGTGGAGAAACATGGTTCCCAGTCTGGAAGTTTTCCTTCCCTGTGTCCCAAACTCCAATAATTCTACAATCTTTCCAGGTATTATTGCTGTTAGACTCTAGATTTCCTTGAGAGTATTTTCCATAATCTCCAAAAGTAAACTGGGTATTTGATATGCATTGAATTGTAGTATACCCTAAGCAACATGCCCTAGAATGTTCAAGCTATACAATTCATCTTGTAATTCACAGCCAGTGTCAACTGTCTCTTGTTTTTTCCATAATTGTATCTTACTCCTCCTGATTGTAATGCACCCAGGAACCTGCACATTTCTGCTTCATTTGTCTGGGCAGTTTTTCTGTTTTCTACGCCAACCCTTCCCTCAGAGTTTGTCATCTCCAGGCCAATTCTATTTCGAGGTTTCCTTAATATTCAGGTCACATTTCCCTCATTAAACGTCCCCTCTAAAACCCTTCATGACCATGAAACGCTGGGGAACTGCTAGTAATGCCAAAGCACTGCATCTCCCACAAAGCCTCTTGCAAATCTAAAACCTCCCCAAGTTGCTTCATTGGTAAACTCAGTATCCAGTCTATCAGAGCTAACGGAAACAGGATGCTCACTGCATCTCAGTACCTCTACGAGGAGGTAATTGTGGGTGAGGTAAGGACCCCTCCCCTGCCGAGGCCACCAAGCGGCACTGGCCAGCAAGGGTTGAGCAACACTTCATAGAGGAAATATAGCATCCACAAATAAGGGGGGAGGTGGCGGGAAGAACCGGAGGGAGAAATTACGGAGGCAGCGAAAGGAAGTAGCAGGAATGAGCAGAGGGGGCGTTTACAGTAGAGAGGGATGCATCCACAACTGCTTGGGGTGCCCTTCTTGAAGGCACTCAAGCCCAATTGCCATTCCCAGGCAAAATCATCCAAGGTTGACGGGTCTTTCAAATGTAGTCGACAGGAAAGCGCTGGGCCTTGCTGGTCAGGCGCCAGCCCGCGGGGACCGGAGCCTTCAGTGGCCTCGCGCGACGCGGGCCGGGCAGAGGACACGAGGAAGGAGAAGGCTTCAGGGCCCACACTCACGGCGGCCGCTCCTTTCAGAGTTCGACAATGCTCAGAGAGCCTACCCACCACATCCAGGACCCTTCCCCACCTTTCCTCCAGGATGACACCCGGCGCTTCCGGAAACGTCACATCCGGCGTCACGCCCACTAGGGGCCGGTCAGGCAATTATACTCCTAAGGATTTAGGACCGGAGGTGGGAAGTTGGTGGGTGGGGCTATAACGTCACTGCGTAAAATCTGACCTATGAGGAGCGAGATCCATCTTGGTAAAGGAAAATAAACCCGGAAGAAAGCGGACCCAAGTTAAAGAGACCTATGGCCAAACTGACTCTTGTTTTTAAAATCATTTTGGTTTTGAGTAGGGGTTTCCCAACAGATAGTCCCTCCGATACACTCACATAAACCTCATATTCAAGGAGGGATTGCTGATTCAAGAAACACTGCAGACTTGCTAAATTGACCAGGGATTGAAACCCAGGACGGGAAAATTTTTGAATTTATTTTTCAGTTTTTTTGTGTTATTTTCTGCGCGAGATTTGTCGCCTGAGATATTAGGAAATAAATTTTGTTGCTCGAAAGAGAAAGTAGGACTACGTAAGAATACCTATAAAATGTGTTGAAAGTGTTTAATCTCTAAAAGTTATGGTGCAAAAGCAATGAGTTCGCAAAGACCTGTATGATATGTATGATAAAATATCTGTGTCTGAAAACAGGACAAGCTGGTTAAATATTCAAGTGCAAATAGAGAGGCAAATTCTGCATGTAGGTATGCATATACACCTTCTTTCCAAAAAGTTCTGCAGGCTTGCTACCCATTCTGTCTTACGGGACTTTATATATCACCAGTCTGAAAATTTATGCTTTGGTTTTAGAGTTTTACTCTCTGGGGACATTTTCTTAAAATTTATTTGGGAGCTCCCTGGGAGCTTGTTAACCTCTTTGTCACAACCTCTTTAAGCTTAAAGACCCAGCTCAGGTGTTACCATCTCCAGATGTCTTCTTTCTGCCAAACCTCGTTGTGGTGTATCTCTTGGGATTTCTTCAGGTGGCTGTGTGGTCATTGAGTTTTATTTTCCCTATATTTTATTTTTATGTGGCGCTGAGGATTGAACCCAGTGCCTCACACATGCCAGGCGAGTGCTCTACCTCTGATCCACAACTCCAGCCCTGGTCATTGACTTTTAAGACTACTGAAAACACATTGTAGGTCATCCTTCCACCCCCAATAAACATTAACATACATGCCAATGCTAGGGTTCACTATTTAACTCATGGATCCTTTGCAGAAAAAATTGGGAAGACAGTTGTACAGGGCACATGGTAGAGAGTACCCAAGGTAAACTGTTCCCCAAACTACTTCTCTGTTGACTCTTTTCCTTCAGAATCTGAGTGTAGTGATTTAGGCCTAAAGAAATTGAGACATTAGAGATAATGGTCAAACAGAAGGCATAGAGCATGAGTCAGGTCCTGTCAGGAGCCAATACAGGACAAATTCCAATCCATTCCACCTCTTGGTAAATGCTAATGGAACATCCATGTGGCTGGTTCTAGGTGTTATGGGTATAACAAAGAATTAATCTAACAGGTGGATACTGTTATTGTGGAAGGGCTGTTCTTGTGGAAGTAGAGCTGGTAGGATAGGAATCAGGCTCATCTGCTCCCATTGAGCACAGTCCCCAAAGTAACTCTTTTTTCCTAATGTTTTACTTATCAGGCTAACATAATTTGCCACAATCTTAGATGTTAATATTATGACAAGAAGACTTTAAGAAGTCCAGAGAGAGACACAGAAGAGGGGTGTGAATAATCAGAACACAATAATCAGCACACATAGGCTGTTCTTGATCGTACAGAGTAAATTAAAAACTGGTAGAAGTTCTTGGGATAATGGTTATGAGACTGTAGGAATCAGGATCTATTTCTTTGCGGGGGAGAATTTGTAAGCTGACTAGAGTTTTTGGCATCTGTGGCATAGTTCAGCATTCTTGTCTTTCTAGGAACCAGTTATTACAAACAAGAAGACCTTGGGAAGATAAACATTGAAAACTATACAATTTTGTACATGCAGGTAGGAAACTAAGGCTGTGAAAATTCTCATATCTCTTAGCACAACTGAGAAGAACCCTATCTACCCCTGCCCAAAGATTGGAGGCCAGGCATTGAAAGTATTCTGTCAGCAAATAGGCTTTGGAAGATCACCTGGTAGACCAAGGATAGGATAGGAATTGAGGTGATCTTTCTTACTGGTACCCACATCTCGTCATGAACAATTTCCTTGAATATAATAGTCTCCATCCAACCTCTTGCCTAGTCCACATCATAGTCCCCTGCACTTCTGCATGCTTATTCCTAATTGCTCATTCCTGGGCAGCATCAAGAGACTCCTAGAAGATTAAATTCCTAGCTTGTAATATAAGCTAGGAATTTAATTTAATTCCCCCAACTGCATATAAAAAAAATACATGCTCAAAGCCTGGCATGGTGGTGCACTCCTCTAGTCCCAGCTGTTCGAGAGGCTGAGACAGGAGGATCACAAGTTCAAACCAGACTCAGCAATGGTGATATGCTAAGCAACTTAGTGAGATCCTGTCTCTAAATAAAATATAAAAATGGACAGGGGATGTGGCTCAGTGCTTGAGTATCTCTGAGTTCCAATTCCCAGCAGCCCCCCCACAAAATACATGTTCAAAGATGACTATGGGGAACCCCCAAACAAAGAAGATTCCAGGCCTATGTCACTTGCCTACTTTTTACTGCTGTGATAAGTGCCATGCCTAGAGGGACACCCTCATTAATATGGAAGAGCATACTCCTTACTTGAATACAGTGGATTCATACAAGAGCAACTAATGATCTTTTTAAAACAAAAATTAGATTCCATAGCACATGGACTTAAAATCCTCCAATGCCCTCCCATGATGCTTAGGATTAGAAATTCAAACTCCTTGTCATAGATTGCAGAGTGCTTCAGCCACTATTGCCTCTCTGACCTCAACTCCCACTTTCCTACTTCCTTGCTATTCCTCAGTCACACCATCAGAACATCTGCAGTTCCATCTTATCATTCATGTCACCTCCTCAGAGAGAACTTCCCTGTCCATCCATTCTAAGTAGCTACCTAGTCACCCTCTATCAGTTGGTTTTGTTTCAGCTTTCTTGATAGTCCTTACCACTCTCTGATATGCTTTGGGTTTATTGTCTTTCATTCCCTACTAAAATATGATGTCCAGAAAAACAGGAGATTTTCTGACTTCCTTATAGCTCTCTTCTCAATTCCTACATTGTTTTGTGACCCCAGTGGATAGTCAATACATATTCCTGGTTATTCACGTATTTCTGATATAAATGTTGTCTCACTGTGCCCAAAATCAATTGGATGGGCTAGCCAATTATGGTGATAACCAAGATATACAATGAGAAACCAACTTGTAGGTTCTTGGGACCAAGTCTTCTGCATAAGAGAGTCAGAGGTATAAAGCCTCAAAGCTAGATGCCTTCATTAGCTATTGTGGTCATGAATCCATGTTAGCCAAAGGATCTACAATGAAAAAGAATAGATCCTGCGGTTTTAAGGATTTCATCAATGAGGACTTAGAGCCATCTGAAGGACAGATAACTTTAAAGTTGAGCAAGATTCTCCAGGGAATGCTAGGTGAGTTGCATGCATTGCAATGCTACAGCATCCTATGTGGAACATTGCTAGGGAATAGGGGTGCTCTGAAAGCAGAAATGGAATGAAATTATTCACAAATTGTTCACCCTGGTAAAATGTTTGCTGCGAACCCATTGGGAATATAAAATGATATCTTATATTGAGAATACTTGGGAAGAAAAATAAATAAATACTTGGGAAAAAAAGGTGGGACGAACTGGTTCAAATATAGGGAAGTGTCTCAAATACATTGGATTTTTAAATTGTACATTATTATAGCATGCAAATTATGTCTTTTTACTTGGAGTTGGAATTACCTGATGAAGTTGTCCCTTAAGAAGAAGGCATGTGACTTCATGACCAATATGATTCTATAACATGTACACTCAAAAAAATTAGAAATTATGTCTCATCTCTGTATGATATATCAAAGTGCATAAATGCATTCTATACTGTCATGTATAACTAAAGAAAGAAAGCAAGCAAGCAAGCAAGCAAGCAAGCTACAGTAAAACCAGCATGGAGATTAATCTGTGCTTTGGAGCGCCACCTATAGTTTCTTTAAGAACTGTATCTCCTGTCATCAAGAAAAATGACAAGTTAGGAAAACATATTCTTATGCATGCCTGGAAAGATCTTTAATATGTGTGTCTGTTAAAATTAATAATTAAATGTGTACATGAGGAATCAGTTGTATTTAGACATATTTTGTTCCTTTGTTTCTGGCTAGTTTGCTATGAGTTATACAATTTATTTCCTAAAAATTCAAATTTTTGTTTTAGGTAAGAGTTCCAATCTCAAGGTTGAGAATGTCAAAAGGAGTTAAATGACATAAGAAAATTTAGGGTCCTTTGGTGCACTTCAGGTTAGGGATTTATGATTTTATATTTAGTTTACACATTTATTTTGTAAAGTGGCTTATAAGTAGACACTGTAACATTTTTGTATTTCTAATTATTAACTTTAAAAAATATTTCTTCTTTTTAGTTATATATGATAATAGAATATAATTTTTTGGGGGGTGGGTACAAGAAATTGAACTCAGGGGCACTTGACCACTGAGCCACATCCTCATCCCATTTTTGTATTTTATTTAGAGACAGGGTCTCGCTGAGTTGCTTAGCATTTCACCATTGCTGGATCTGGCTTTGAACTCGGGATCCTCTTGTCTCAGCCTCTTGAGTCACTGGGATTACAGGCGTGTGCCACCGTGCTCAGCGTAGTAGAATGTATTTTGACATATATATATACATGGATCATAACTTCCCATTCTCGTGGTTGTACGTGAAGTGGAATTACACAGGTTGTGTATTCACATACGAAAATAGAAAATTTATGTCTGATTCATTCTACTGTCTTTCTTACTCCCACTTTCTCCCTTTCCTTAATCCCCTTTGTCTAATCCATATAAATTTCTATTCTTCCCTCTC